CAGTTACAGACTGAGCTTGAGAAAGAATTCAACTGATATATGGGACTTCATAACAAGCACATCCTGCTCTTTACTTTCTCATTCTTCCATGTTTCTTTATTAATTATTTCAAACTGTCCCACCCACTGAAAGCTGCACGGGTTATAGGCCTACATAAATACTACACATTTCAAAGACGTAAAAGGTCTGTGTGGCATGAGTTGAGCTTACCACAGAAGTGTAAGTGGTTAAAGGCTATTTCATATATAGGTCAGCCATTCTGCTAGCTACTTTGACATTAGGATGCAAACAACAAGATTCAGATTGAAAGATAATGTTTTGTTGGCATTATGTCTTGCTTTACTCTAAGTATGACAATAACCTCATCAGTCAGTACTGAGTTTGCCATTATTTTTTTAGGGTGTGAGTTTCTACATGAAAGACTACTATGAAGATTATAAAGCCAGTTAGGCTATTTCTGGCAGCTGTTAAAGTAACATTTATAGAAAAATTATGAATTCTTATTTGATTTTAAGAAACTTTGAATAATTATAGGCCTATATAGCTTCAATATTTGACCAGTTTATCATAAAACTCAGTTACATAACAGAAATTTCCTAATTTCTGTAAGGAGTTGCAAAATCATGCAATCAATCTGTATTGACATTTCAAATAGAACAAGAAGACACATACCTGTACAGATTAAATACTGTTTGCTCCCATTTGTGATCCCTGGAATCACTAAACAACTTCCATTATTCTTATACTGATGTATTAAAGTTGACTTTTTTCAGTATTGATGACTCACAAACATGATTTGCTGCAAATCCATCAGAATTATGTCATCAAAATTCGCACCTTCCGATGAACCTCCTGTAAATTTACACGTTCTGTTTTCTTACATAACTAACTAACACATGAAGCTAGTATGCGATTGCCATAGTATATGGTTTGTGCTTTCATCCAGTTTGGGTGTTTTATAAGAATAGTTTTGAGCAAAAATAGCATTAACCTCATAACTGTCATGTGTAGTTTTCACACTATTGGTGCTTCTGAAAAGCCATGGATTAAGATGCCTGGAACCATTGGCCGGTTGCATCTAGTCATCGAATTTTTTGGACTGGTCATAACTTTTTACAGTCATTTACATAAAAATGTAGATTGCCACAGTTAATAATAGCTAGTTAGTCAAACTACGTAGTTCTTTAGACACAATCTTATCATATTAGCTATGTTTATGCAATTGGCCCCAGCATCACATGAGAGGGAGCGCTGACAATAAAAATCCATTTCTGATTTTATTGTTGTTTGTACGCTGCATCATTTTCCTTATAAATACCTTTATATTTGGAGTTTGTGGAGGGATATTTCTTTCATCCCCATCGGGGTGTTATTATACATGAAGGTTTCATGCTTCATTTTGCTGTTGCATGGGAAATAAATGCATTGAACAACTGATCACTGCTATAGTCTAGACTCTAGAGGTTTCAGTGGTGTCGTTGACACAGATGGTGATGGCATGGACAGTGCCTGGTCCTTTTACATTCACACCCTGTTCAACAATAGCACTGTTGGGAACATCCTGTCCGATTTTCCTTTGAGAAACTGGCCTCTAAATGCATGCAGCCTGTCACTTGGATTATTATTTGGAGTCATCAGTCATTATTAGTCTTTTCAGATTCTCCCTTCTGTTTTAACAATCTGCACATCATTCTTCTGGGTAAAATCTTCTTCTTGCTTCCACATTCTAAAACTTAACTAACAGAGCCTGCAAAAACATTCATGTATTTCAAATATGATTTTATGGCCTTTCCCAAATTTATTTAGAAATATAAAAATATCACATTAAATTACATTTCATCACAGGCTTTCAAGGTTAAATCAGAAAATAGGTTTAAAGGCAGAATAGTTTTACAGGGAGTGTTACACTGCTGAAGTAATAAATCAGTGTCTTCCATCTCAAAGCAGGGCTTGCAAATATATTTCTAACTGGCAGAGCTTTGTAACCCCCTTTTTTGTTTCCTGCACAACCAGCTTCTTATTTACACGTTTATTGAGCACCCTCAATGATTAAATCATTTTTAGTGTTTACGTACGGGTAAATAATGAAGTTAAATTAGATTATCTACAAGCTACTTGTGCCATGCCATCCTGCTAGAGCCTCACATTTTATGGATTTACATTAGCTGGTGCTAAAATATGGTAAAGTTGATCTTAAAGTCAAGTATGTATAAAAACCGAGTGACCTTGTACAGAGATACTCTCCGTCAGCATATGTTTGAGCAGTAGGTACTGTAATGGATGTTGTCTTTGATAAATGGTTTGACAATCAAGCAATATATTAAAATGTAAAATGTTAGACAGACATAAGGAGCTTTAAAAACAATGTCGATATCTATCCTTGATATTACAGACATGAAGTTCTTTTAAAACAGGAGTAATATGTGCTGACTTTAATGACATTTATGAAACATACTGCAAACATGTTATTAAAAAAAGAAGCTGTCTATACTTTAAAATCAGTATGTCATTGTAGGTTACTAGATGAGTGGTCAGATTAATGACTTCATCATGACTGGTTTTTTTTAAGCAAATCCCAACACACAAAAGCACTTCCTCACATCTGCACTTCTATTGTGTTTTCAGTTCCGGAAACACCATTTCAAGAGCCAGATGAGTGCGGACATAAACCTATTCAACAAAACTACATTTCTCATTCAGCTACACACCGTGAAAATTTGACAATTCTGAGTGTAAAATTATTTGAGGGAACAGAAAGATTCAGATTTGCTCATGATTGCTAAACCAACTGGACAACATATTCTTTTGTGTAGATGTGTAGAAAAAAAAAGATGCGTCTGTTGTGTTAAGATACACACGAGCCAGACAATTAAATCTGATCTATAGAAAGCATGTTTATATTTACATTGTTTGAATAACATTTACAGCATCTACTCTAAGACCCCTTTTATCTTGTTTGATATTTATCACACCCATGTGCTAATGTATGGACAACTGTAATATTTATAATCCATTTAAGAGGCTTTTAAGGGTTATAGCAACAGCTAAAAATCTCAGTGATGTTTTTTATGAGATATTTACAACAAATGTGTTGACATATTACAATTGCTCCCAGAGCTAAATACCTTATATTGTTGTTTTTGTTTAGGTGTGCATGTAAGCCTGAATACACCTTCTGGGGCTTAATATGATGTTTAAACATAGTAATTTCCCTTTTAGATTTATGTTTTTTTCTTATGCAGTGTCAGGAACATCAATATTTACATTTTATTGCAATATTGCAAAATAATGAACTTGATTGGTCATATATTGTACCACATTTAATAATAAAAAGTGATGTTGTCAAAGTCAAAGTTAAAGAGATCCCATTTATTTATTTTGACATGAATGCATTATTTGAAAAAAGAAAAAAAAAAAAACTAAAAACAAGCATTCAAATTCTGCTGAACCACTACATTAACACTTAACCAACCATGAGAAATAAGTTGTATAAATGAGCATATTTTAACAATTAAAATAATTCATATTAGCTTTACGTTGAAGTGATTCATGACAAAACAGTCAATAAATATATATGCTTGAACAGAGGCTCTTCAGTATGTAGTGTAACAGTTTATAGGCAACAATGCCTCGGGTCATTGAAAAGGACCACAATAACAGTCTCATCCAGTTAAGTATGAAAGGCATCTTGAAAATGATAAAGCCTTTAAAATGCCTTTTCATGTTTTTTTTTCTTAGCTTTAAAGGGGTCATATGATGCGATTTCAATTTTTCCTTTCTCTTTGGAGTGTTACAAGCTCTTGGTGCATAAAGAAGATCTGTAAAGTTGCAAAGACTAAAGTCTCAAATCCAAAGAGATATTCTTTATAAAAGTTAAGAGTCAGCCACACCTACCTAAAACGGCTCGTTCTAACACAATACTAACACAATCGTTCTAACACAATACTACAGTGAGTATCTACAATACTACAGCGAGAATAAAAGTTACGCCTTCTTTCTTTGCGAACATTTGGGCGGTGTTATGCAAATCTTCCCACATCGTGACGTAGATATTCTCGCTGTAGTATTGTTGTTGCAGCTGCCATGTCGTGAAGGCGCTGTGATTCGTTGTGAAAGCGAAACTACTTTGTTTGGCCTTCCAAACGAGGACGATATCTGCTTCGTCATGCCTGGAGCTGATCCGTGCTGGTCGCTGAGGAAATACATCAACTTTGCGCTGTGGATCGCCAGATCGGCTTTCACCGTGGACGAAGCGGAGTCCAGCCCGGAGTCGTCACATGTCCTTCCGGACGCTCCTTCGTTGAAATCGCCGGCCTCACCGTTCTCAAGCCCACCGCCTCTGCTCACTCTAACCCTCCGGCCGTTCCTCACGCTAGCCCCCGGCCTCTGCTCACTGTAGGCCGCCGCTGCTCACTCAAGGCCACCGTGTGACGCTGTGATTCGTTGTGAAAGCGAAACTACCTTGTTTGGCCTTCCAAAAATGGACACGACTAGAAATCAGTGGTTAAGTTGTATTTACAACACTGTTCCAGAACACTTCAACCCAAATATTCAGATGTGCGCAGTGCATTTTATGAGGGACTGTTTCCTGATCCTGGTAGAGTAGACTACAATGCCGGCTGTTCTGACTCA